TCCTTCAGGGCACTGAGCCTTACTAGCATTTGTGGGTTAGTGTACATGCTATTGGATATGATTTTGGAATTTTCCTTCCTAATACAAATTTGAGGTGGTAGAGCTGACATTCTCCTTTTAATTCACCTTTAAAACAAGCAAAGAATTCCCATATAGGACTTTTTATTTAAAGACTTACAGCCTAAATGGAATCAAGCTATAAAATTTAATTACAGTTCTTAAGGATTAATTGGTTTCATGAATCCTCAAATATTTAAATTTTGCTCTAATCAAATTTAATTTTATTCTACCTTGTGTTATTCAATTTTTTTTCAAATATTTGGTGGTTTAAAAAGGATATAAGGCTCTTCTCAAGGTTTTTTCTTTCTTTCGTTCTTTCTTTTTTTTTTTTTGCTAATTCACTCTGTATTAGTATTTATATTAACAATCAATTTTCCTTTTCAACTACTTTATTTTCCCCCCCTTTTCTTAGGGTCTCTCTCTCTCTCTTTTTTTTTTAAAATTTTTAAATTTTTTATAAACATATAATGCATCATTAGCCCCAGGGGTTCAGGTCTGTGAATTGCCAGGTTTACACACTTCACAACACTCACCATAGCACATACCTTCCCCAATGTCCATAACCGCACCACCCTCTCCCTACCTCCCTCTCCCAAGCCCCCCTCAGTTTGTTTTGTGACAGTAAGAGTCTCTTATGGTTTGTCTCCCTCCCGATCCCATCTTGTTTCGTTTATTCTTTTCCTACCCCTCAAACCCCCAATGTTGCCTCTCCACTTCCTCGTATCAGGGAGATCATATGATAGTTATCTTTCTCCGATTGACTTATTTCGCTAAGCATAATATCCTCTAGTTCCATCCATGTCATCGCAAATGGCAAGATTTCATTTCTTTTGATGGCTGCATAGTATTCCATTGTGTATATATACCACATCTTCTTTATCCATTCATCTGTTGATGGACATCTAGGTTCTTTTTGTAGTTTGGCTATTGTGGACATTGCTGCTATAAACATTCGGGTGCACGTGCCCCTTCAGATCACTACGTTTGTATCTTTAGGGTAAATACCCAGTACTGCAATTGCTGGGTCATGAGGTAGCTCTATTTTCAACTTTTTGAGGAATCTCCATGCTGTTTTCCAGAGTGATTGCACCAGCTTGCATTCCCACCAACAGTGTAGGAGGGTTCCCCTTTCTCCGCATCTTAGGGTCTCTTTAAATGTAAAAGCATTCTCATTCCCTCTTCTTTTTAAAATCCCATGATATTTAATTGTTGAAAGAAATCTGGTCATTTGTACTATAGAATTTCCCACATCTTAGGTTTGGTAAATTTCATCTTCATGGTGTTAGTATATTCCTCTGTCCTCTCTCCTTGCATATGAATAACTGATAGTTAGATACAGTAATTAGATTTAGGTTTTTATCTTTTTTTTTTTTTTTTAACTTAGGCTACTTCATAAGGAAGTGCCATTTATTCCTATAGTATTGTGCCAGGAGGTACATATTTGGTTATCTCACTTTTAGTGATGTTAAGATTATCAATGGACCAAGTGTTTTCATCCTGACTTGTCTATTATAAAATGTTCCATTCCTCTTACATAGGAAATTAGGAATGATTTAAACATGGAAAGTGTAGGTTTCCCTACATGTGCTTCAGGGTACAGGTCTGTGAATCACCAGTCTTACACAATTCACAGCACTCACCATAGCACATACCCTTTCCAATGTCTATAACCCAGCCACCTTATCCCTCCGTGCCATCCCCCAGCAACCCTCAGTTTGTTTCCTGAGATTAAGAGTCTCTTATGGTTTGTCTGCCTCCTGATCCCATCTTGTTTCATTTTTTCCTTCCCTACCCCCACGAACCCCTGCCCTGCCTCTCAAATTCCTCACATCAGTGATATCATATGAAATTGTCTTTCTCTGATTGACTTATTTAGCTCAGCATAACACCCTCTAGTTCCATCCACGTTGTTGCAAATGGCAAGATTTCATATTTTTTGAAGGCTGCATAGTATTCCATTATATATATATATATATATATATATATATATATATATATATATATATCACATCTTCTTTATCCATTCATCTGTTGATGCACATCTAGGTTCTTTCCACAATTTTGTTCTTTTTTTTTTTTTTTTTACTGTTCTGCCTAACTATTGCAGTTATTGCTGACCATTGCCTAGATCCATTGTTTTGTGGGTTGCAAAACAATGATTTTCTAATTCTATTGTATCTCTTATATTTGTTAGCTGTGATTTCTCTATAAAGAAAATTTTCCTTGGGGCATCTGGGTGGCTCAGTGGTTTAAGCCTCTGCCTTCCGCTCAGGTCATGATCTCAGGGTCCTGGGATCCAGCCCCACATCGGGCTCTCTGGTTGGCAGGGAGCCTGCTTCTCCTTCTCCCTCTGCCTGCCTCTCTGCCTACTTGTGATCCTATCTCTCTGTCAAATAAATAAATAAAATCTTAAAAAAAAAAAAAAGAAAAGAAAAAGAAAATTTTCCCTAATCAACTCTTTGGTCACCTTGAAATACTGATTGTATAGAAACATCAGGATAAATGCTTTATTTCCCACCCTTTATTAATTTTAAAAATAAATATCAATCTTCTAAATTACCAATTATTATTTTAAAATGAAGAGGTGGATTTTTATACGTTTGATGTGTTTCAATTTATCTGAGTGTTTAACTAAACTAATGAATTCAAGCGAAAGCTGAGCTAAATTTCCTCTCAGTGTTGTTTGAGTATCCAGATCATATCATATCTGAAAGGCCTGGGTACTTACAGATGGTTCAATTACATACCCAACTCACCCATTTTACCTGCTTAAATCAGTTTGAATTGTATTTTTTTTCTTGTCATTTGCAACCTAGATTTCTAAGAAAGATCAGTCATTGTTCTATCACTGTCCTGCAGTGAAACTGAATTTTATAAAAACAAAGAAAGTTTCCTTTAAAATCATGCTGGCGTTTATTCAGATCATCTTTGCTATTTCTTCTTTATGCTGTGAATCTTGGCAACTCTCTTGAATAAAATAAAAGAACTAAAGATGCAAAAATAACTGACTCTAATCCACCAAAGGAGAAAGTATTTTAAAAAGGAATCTGAATTTCAGACTTAGGAGTTTCTATACTTAGCTAGAGTTACCAGACGCCTGGAGCAAATCTTTTATTAGTGCAAAGTCGCCTTCTGGTATAGGGCATTTAGAGCCACCCACCAGACTTTTAATGGATATGCACTTTCCATTGCTGGCAATTACTTAACACTTTTAAGATTTTTATTTTATTTTTTTTTTTTATTTATTTATTTGACAGAGAGATCACAAGTAGACAGGGAGGCAGGCAGAGAGAGAGGAGGGAGCAGGCTCCCTGCTGAGCAGAGAGCCTGATGCGGGACTCGATCCCAGGGCCCTGAGATCATGACCCCAGCCGAAGGCAGCGGCTTAACCCACTGAGCCACCCAGGCGCCCAATTACTTAACACTTTTAAAGTGCAAACAGAATTAGATGATCAAAGGAGTACGTGAGCAGGAGAGTGGATGGGAATTTGGGGAATGATTTAAACATGGAGGATGTAGGTAGAGAGGTGTGAAAAACACGGAGAGATCTAGTTCTGTGCATATCCATTACTGTTCCACCCCATTTACAAGAGTGGAAGTGAGGAATAATCAAACAAATTTAAAAGAAAATCACCAACCAAGTGTTTTAAACAGTAGTGGCTTAAATAGAATCCAAATAGTAAGATAATAAGAATGAAAAAGCCACTGCATGTAAAGAAAAGAGCAGTGAAGTGGGGAGTCAGGAAATCCTAGTTCCATCCGTTTATTCAACAAACTTTTTTTTTTTTTTTTAAAGATTTTATTGGCGCAGAGAGCCAGACACGGGGCTCAATCCCAAGACCCTGAGATCATGACCTGAGCCAAAGGCAGAGGCTTTAATCCTCTGAGCCACCCAGGTGCCCCTAGTCAACAAACTTTTAAAGACCCAACACTGCTAGCCGCGGGAGATTTCAAAGTGAATACTAAACACTTGATAGGGGGACGGGGTTCTCATTCTTAAACTACCTCTCTTGGCAAATGGAGTTCACTTGGTTTTGTTTTGGATGTTTGAATTAAAAACTTTCAAATTCACTGAAACACTGAAACACATCAAATATATACACCTCTAGTTCTTCATTCAAAAGTTGTAATTGGCTATTTTTGGACGTTGCTAGACACTATCATTCTAAAAATTTATATAGAAAAAAAGCATTTATTCTCCTTTTCCTACACAACCTGTATTTCAAGGCAATTCAAGAGTTAATGAGGGAAAAATACGAATAAAAAATACATCAGTTAGATGGGTTGATGATCTATAAACTTAGGATAAACATATTTGTCTTGCCTACCTCAAAGGACACTCGAGGAGGGGATGTCAAAGGAATTAAAGAGAAAGGCAGCACTTGGTGGACTGCAACAAACACTTCTGGTGTTAGGTAACATTCTGGCTTCAGAATGTCAGACTGACATTGGGGGGCTACTGGATCAGGCAGGGGCTGACAGTTCTTTCCAGGTCTGGGTCTCACAAGCACGAGGCGCACTGCAGGTAAAATGACCTAAGTCTCCCTCCTCCGATGGCGTTAGGCAGGCTCGGACTGCGGTCTTGTCTGTGGCACCGCTGTCTCTCTGGTCCCTACGACTGCAATCGCAGTCACTCCGTCCAGCTAACCAATCTGCAAGAACGCTCAGAAAGCGAATGCAGCAGGGACCACGCCCCAGGCGGCGGGGAAACCCTAAGCGAGCGGGCGCTCTGCCAGCCACTTCCGGCCACCGGCGTCACGGGGCGCGGCCGCACGCGGCTACGCCGTGCGACGTGTGGCGCGCGGCTCCCCCTGCCGGAGGCGTGCGGTGACGGGGGCAAGCGGGATCGAGTCCCCGACGACGACCGTTGCTGCAGCTCTGTGCCCTCAGCCTTCTGTACCAGGCCCGCCTCCCGCCTCGAATTTCGTTTTTCAATCACAGTTTCCCCAGACCCTCGGAGTGCCCTTTCCTTTCGCTGGAAGCGGGGCGTTGGAGGAGGATAAAAAAGGTTCCGGGTGCGAAGCGAAAATGGAGGAAGGCGCCCAGACCCCAGACTGGGACAGCGATGAAACGATGATTGACGAGTCGGTGACGGAGAGCGACCTCGATGAAGAGGAGCTTCCCTGGAGAAGGTGACCACAGTTAGCGCCAGCCCTTGGACAGTGAACCTGCCATTCTGCTGGGTACTGGCAGTGGGGTGGCCCTCGGAGATTTGCGTAGAAATTACCAGATGAATGTGCAATGGCAGGCGGAATTCGAGTCTTGTGAGGCATCTAGGCCTGAGCTAAGAACTTGTAAACAAAACACAATACCCCTCAGCCTCCAGTTTAGGACAAAATGAGCTTTCTGGTAGATGGTTTTGTGGCATCTAAAAAGAGGAAAAAGCAGGAACAAACAGAAACAAACTTAGACTGAGTCCAAGTCCTTTTGTACCGGCAAACAAGTTTTGGGTCTAAATTTCTGAAAGGCATTTTGCTTAAGCAACTGGAAGCGCTGATCTAGGAGATGGTTAACAATTTCAGGAAAAGAATGTGTGATGGGGGAACCATTTACTGCTAAACTGGAAACTAATACTTTTTAAGAATCAAAAAAGATGATAGTTCAGTTTATCAAAACATTGAACATATCTAGTTCTCTGTGCTCCATCCAGGGGAACTATATAAGAGATGAGACCATTGCCTTTGAGAAACCTACAGGCGAGGGAGGTCGCATAAATAGATAATTAATTTTTTTAAAATAACCAGGTAATTTAAATAAAATGCGATAGTCCAGGGATAGAAGTATGCTTTGGCTGGTTTAGGATCCCAGGTAGTCTTTAGAGATTGGTGGGGTGGACTTAGGAATAGAGGCTTTAAGGTGGGTTAAGAATTAGGCAGATGAAGAAGAGGTGTTCTAGGCTGAGGGAAATGCATGGGTAAGGGTGGGGGGACATAGCATTGTGTTGTGTGCTGTAATGTACAAATAGTTCATTCTTACTGAAGTGAAGTGTTAAATGGTGAGATGGGGAGTGATGGAAGATGAGCCTGGAGAGGAAGGTAGGGTGAGGTAATATAAAGCCTCATATATCCTGTGAGTGTGTTTGTAAAATGTTAAGTGGAAGAGAAGGATAATCAGATTTTTGTTCACTCAAGCATGCCCTAGAGCAGAGCTTTTCAAATTTTAATGCCCTTATAAAGTCACTTCTGAATCCCATTAAAATGCGGAGTCCCACTCAGGAGTTCTGTGGTAGGATCTGAAATTCTGCATTTATAGCAAACTTCCAGGTTAAAGTTGGAATTATTTAGAGCAGAGATGATGACACCCAGGTTTTTGCTCATTTATATATACACACAGTAATATTTGCTGTTGGTGTACAGGGAGCATTTCTGACCAATACATTGAGTCTTAAAACAACCACCACAGTCATAGCCACATGCTGGTTCATATGACCAGAAAGACATTTCTCTGAGCTTTCTTACTTCAGAACAGTCCCTTGCAACTAAGGCCACCTCCAGGGAAAAGTGTTAAGAGAGAAGAAAGTAAGAGAGATGCTCTCCATACTCTTGAGCATGTGGTTCCTCTGGCAAGAGAGACAGGTTTTGTCTTGGATTTTAAGTGCCCAAATTGCCGTGATTGATAGTAGTATATTTCTAAGGCTAAAGAGAGAAAACAAATAAAAGCCATAGATTTCCTTTCACACTTCCTGGCATTCACAGGGCTCCCTTTCCCTAGTGTTCTGGATAGAGATAGGGGGTGTCTTATGGAGTTTTTGCTGTCTGAGCCCACTCTGCAGTTTCAGGATTAGGCCTTGGATCAAAGCTGGAGACAAATAAGGGAATAACAAAACCACAAAAACAAACTCTGAAATTCACCTGGTTCATGGTGTGAACTCAGTCCTCAATCTACCTGCTATTGTTTACTTTTCAGATTACGCAGGAAGCTTTTAAAAAATACTCTTGAGTTTTTGTGTAATGAGAGGAGAAATAGGCTTTAGATGGCTCACTCTATCGTGGCTGGCCAATCTTTTTCTTCCCCTGTGATTCATTTAAAATGCTTCTCTGCAGTGCCATATAAACATCATTTTTTCAGACCTCATAGCTCAAGGTTAAAAACTAGTGTTCTTATTGGCATGGCAATATAGTTAAAGTCTAAGCATTGCTGGAGCTGAATTGCTGGGGCCATTGTTTAGTGTTGCTTTCCTTTTTTTTCATCTTCTTTGCTTCTGTGCGGTTCGTTTTGGCTGTTTTTTTTATGCACAAGGTCTTTAACTAGAATGAGGGACACAAGTTCTAGTAGAGATCCCCAAGAGGCAAAACATACAGTTTGACATAGCTAAATAATCCTTAAATGTTGCAGCTATTAAGGTCTTTTTTCGAAGACGGGAGAAAGGGTTTAGGAAAGGCAAGGCTTATTATAAACAACCAGGCTGCCAGGTGTGTTAACTGTGTCTGAAAAAACACTCTTTGTGAGTCTGGATTAAGTCCTAGCTTTCCCTCTGGAAATCATATCCAAAAGTGCATACGGTCTTTTTTTTTTTTTTTTAAGATTTTATTTATTTGTTAGAGAGAGCGCAGGTACACACAAGCAGAGGGAGGGGCAGAGAGAGAAGCAGATTCCCTCTGAGCAGGAAACCCACCAGGGTCCCCAGGGAACCCCCTGAGATCTTGATGGGAGCCGAAGGCAGACCAGACTCTTAACCAACTGAGCCACCCAGGCACTCCGCATCCAGTCTTTTTTTGTGGCTTTGTAGGTGTTGCTATTCATCTTTTGTAAAAATTCAAGTTGCTGACTAATAAGATTTGGTAGCTTGTAATTTGTTTTCTAAGAGGCATGATCCTTTTTCTGCATATATGCCCTGGAAATCTTTTATCAACCCTTGTATTCTGTTTCAGCCTCTGTTAAGGTTAACTGCTTTATAACATGAAGGGATAGATCTCAAATTAATCCTATTCAGTAGATTTAATCAGAACCACCGTAGTTCATTGTTAAATGGATTTGTGTATGTGTTCAGGTCACATGTCTTCTGAACATTATAACTGCATTTAGTAAAAAGCTAATTCAACATAATTATACTGCAAGAAGGGTGTTAATTCTGTCCCTCAAGTCAGACCAACACTGTCTTCATGTGAATTGTCTAGATAGAAAAATACTCGTTATAAAGGATTTACCTGAGAAAGGAGGGAAAGAAAGCAAAGTACAAGATGACAAGGATTTAATAACCACATTAAATTGGCTAAAGAAAATGATATTTGGGGGACTCCTGTGGGCCTCAGTCAGTTAAGCATCTGACTCATGATTTTGGCTCAGGTCATGATCTCGGATTGTGAAACTGAGCCCCACCTTGGGCTACAAACTCACTGGGGAGTCTGGTTGAGATTTTCTCTCTCCCTTTCTTCCTCCAATCCTGTGCATGTGTGCGCATGTGCTCTCTCTCAAATGAATCTTTAGGAGGGTAGCGCGTGTTGTAATGAGCCCTGGGTAGTATATAAGACTGATGAATCACTGACCTCTACCTCTGAAACCAATAATACATTATATGTTAATTATTGAATTTAAATTAAAAAATAGGGGATGCAAAATAAGTAAAAATAAATCTTTAAAATAAAAGCAACATTTTGGTCAGGGTGTGTATCAAAGTAGTAGCAACTCCAGTGATAAAGCACAGTGGTGCCAAGTACTATGTTTAGAACCGTTACACTGAACTGTGCAATCAAAACTTTGATAAAATATAAAATCGAAACCCTAATTGTCTCCCCAAATTTTATTGTACTTTTAACAAAACAGTGAAGATTTCAGTCAAATTTTGCCTAAGTTTTCCTTTTAACTCAGCCATCTAATTTCTACTTCTCTCTTCTGTTTTTAGTACTTGGTACTATTCCATTTTTCCAGTATTTCAAAGTTAAACTTTATTATTAAAATACTGTGTCTGTAATGAAGTGGTCAGTGACTTTTAGAGTATTAGTTATTAATGTAGTCTAGTAGTTTGACTAGAATTCACTAAGAAATTAATGTCTGTTGTCAGTTAATTTATTGACTGAACATGAATATGAGTAATTCTTCTGGTTTACACTCTTTTCATTTTCCTTTTAGTATTTAAAATAGTCCTGACTCCTCTCTTAAGGGGAAAAAAAACAAACCCAAAGATTTATGCAGAGGAAATTATCCCTGAGACATTTGCAATAATGAAAAATTAAAAACAAGTGTTTTAGAATTATATGATGCTTAAATAAATTATATCCTTATGCTTAAATAAATAAATAAACAAATCATATGTCCTTATGAGGGAGTATTATCAATATTTAATGGTTTTAGGAAGAATTTTAGTGACTTTGCAAATATTTCAATATAATGTTAAGTGTGAAGTGTAGTTTCTTAAACTTTATACAGATTGATCCAAACTTTGTGAAAGAATTTTTGGTTCTAACATATATAAGCCTCCATAGAAAGCTAAAAGGAAATCCATCAAAGTCTTTTAACACAGGTAGAATTATAGGAGATTTCTATCTTCATACTTATACTTCTCTTTATTGCCTGCATTTTCTACAGTTTTTTTGAATAAGTAATGTATTTACATGGTTCAGGGAAGTTTTTTTTTTTTTAAGTATTAAAGGGTGTATAGCAAAAAATCTCCTTCTCATCCCTATCTCCTCAGCCACTCAGTCTTCTTTTCCACAGGCAATCAATATATTTGATTTTTGTCCTCCCAGAGATATTTTCTAAGTTATGTATATATGTTCTCAAACATATATGAAATTGTTTTCTAAAAAATAGAAGCACTCTGTCAAAGGGTTTGGGTGTTTGTAATCTTGATAATTGAATTATTTGGGTTTATCTCATAATTAGAAAGGCTTTTTTCCTTCACAATGATAAAAGAATCCCTCCTTGGTTTCTTTTATACTTTTTGTTTCATTTTAAACATTTACATTTTGATTCATATGGGATTTTTATCTGGAGTACAGTGTCAAGTATGGATGCAACTAAATTATTTTCCATATGCCTCCTTCATTGTCCCAATATTATTTTTTTAAAAATCCTATCTTTTTCTCTGATTTGAGATGCCACTTTTTTAATAAACTAAATACGTATGTGTACATGAGTTTACTTGGGAGATTTTATTCTGTTTGTTGGTCTGTCATTTTATGTGCTAGTTTCACATTTTAAAAACATTTTATATCCAAAAATATTGTAGTGTCCTATAAGTTATTACCTCCTTACTGTTATTTTAAAACATTTTCCTGGCTGTTCTTATTTATTTTACCACATGAACTTTAGAATCAGTTGTCTGGTTCAATAAAAAGTCTTGCTGGTACTTTTATTGGTATAAAGTTATATTTATAAATTTACTTATGGAAAATTAACATCATGTTACTTTTTCATTAAGATGCAAATTACAGGGGCGCCTGGGTGGCTCAGTGGGTTGAGGCCTCTGCCTTCAGCTCAGGTCATGATCTCAGGGTCCTGGGATCGAGCCCCGCATCAGGCTCTCTGCTCAGCGGGGAGCCTGCTTCCTCTCTCTCTCTCTCTCTGCCTGCCTCTCTGACTACTTGTAATCTCTACCAAATAAATAAATAAAATCTTAAAAAAAAAAAAAGATGCAAATTACATGCAGCAGAATTCATCCTGTGTGTTTTGATAAACACATACAATTGTGTAATAACCATTACCACAATGAAGATGAAGAGCAGTCCCATTAGCCTCCACAATTCCTTCATTCATTATTTGTGTTATTTTTAGATTAAAAAAAAAAAACACCTCAAAAAAATTTAAAAAGTAAAATAATTCTTTTAGGGACATTAAGATGAATAGTTTTGGGTTTTGTTTGTTTTTTTTTAACTTCTGGGACATTAAAATGAATAGATTTTTTTTTTTTTACTTTTTTTTTTAAAGATTTTATTTATTTGTTAGGGTGGGGGCGGGGGAGAGAGAGAGAGAGCATGCCTGAGCATGAGCACAAATGGGGAGCAGCAGGCAGAAGGAGAAGCAGGCTCTCTGCGAAGCAAGAGCCTGATGTGAGACTCGATCCCTGGACCCTGGGATCATGACCTGAACTGAGCCACCCAGGCATCCCTATTTTTACTTCTTAGAAAAGTGTGCTATAGTAATGGTGTTAACCCATATTTGAATAATAAAATCTTCAATCCTTGGTAATGGCCAGTAGTAATTGAATCAAAAAAGATGATTTTTCTCCTAATAACAGGAGCCAGCATTTACTCTCACGGAGGGTTTGTTAGATTAAGGACTGGAGTCCTTTTTATTATTAGTTTTGGTGGTGCTGAGAACTATTAGGAGGTACGGGTTTTGTTGTTGTTGTTAATGGTTACTTATTTTTCTTAGTAACCTGTTCTTTGTAATGTATGTGAGATTATATGTGTGATGTATTTTTGTGTTTGGGAATGGAAAACAAGATAGTTCTGTAAATTTTCTTAATCTCTCCCCATTTCTTTTTTTTAAACTTCCACTATTGTCTTTTATTAAGCTTTTAAAACTGAGGAGTACTTGGCTGTCTCAGCTGGAAGAGCATGTGACTTTTAATTTCAGGGTTGTGAGTTCAAGACCTTGTTGGGTATAGAAATTACTTAGATGAATAAATATTTTTTAAAAACTATGTGAGAATCCACACAGTGGCATACTATGAATTGATAAAGAGGAATGAAGAAAGTTTCTTCCCCTGCACTGATCAGTCTACTGGATTTATTGTTAAGGAAGAAAAAGTAGAGAGATATATAGAATGCTACTGCTTATCTAAGACTGGGTGAGGGCATGAATACTCACATTGCTTATATTTTCAAAAACACATTGGAAGGATAAACCATACAATTTTAAAAAGTGGGAAGTGAAAAGAACAGATGGGTGAAGAGACAAGATGAGACAAGACTAGACTTCTCTAAATAGATCTTATTTTATACATTTATGGTTTGCATAATTATAAAACAAAATTAAATCAACATGAAAAATTTTCTAAAAAGCAAAAAAGGGGCACCTGGGTGGCTCAGTGGGTTGAGCCTCTGCCTTCAGCTCAGGTCATGATCTCAGGGTCCTGGGATCAAGCCTTGCATTGGCTCTCTGCTCAGTGGGGAGCCTGCTCCCCTCCACCCCCCGCCTGCCTCTCTGCCTACTTGTGATCTCTCTCTCTCTGTCAAATAAATAAATAAAAAATCTTTAAAAAAAATAAGAAGCAAGATTAAACAGGTGAACCTAATTATGTATTGACTTGATAGCATAATTACACCAAAAGGAATTAAGTGCCTTTTAAACAAAATTATCTATACATGCCAGATAAGATATACTCCAAGGACATAAAGAATTGCAAAGTAATTTCAGTAATCATACTGTTAATGATAATATTAGTATTGTGGACTCTAAATATGATATGATATCTAAGTAGGATACAATATTTTATTCTGGGAAACTAGGGAAGATAGTGATGTATTAGTTTGTCAGGCTGCCATAAAAATACCACAGACTGGATGGCTTAACTAACAGAAATGCATTTTCTTATGGTTCTGGAGGCTGGAAGTCCAAGATCTAGGTGGTGGCAGGCTAGAACAGTTCTTTATTCACATAGAGAAGAGACAAAGCAAGAGCAGCTTCAGTAGTAGGTATTGGCCCCCATGGCTAGCAGTCACTCTCTGCAGCTGATGCAGGCCTTTGGTCTGCACACATTTCTCTTGTGCCACAGAATGACTTCATCTTGTCCCCACAGAGGACATATATAGTAGTGAGGTTTTCCAGATAACATAGGACACACACGCTTTCACAGCAAAGGAGTACACACCAAGTCTGAAACTGGGAAAGGTATTCCCGTGCAAGGTAAAAAGTCCAGCGCAGGCTGGGAGGACTCCGAATCTTGGTAAGAAAGTGTTCCAGGCCCAAGGCGAAGGGGGGTGCTGAAAGACTATTGTCTCCTGTAGGAAGTACACACATGCCTCCCACCCCCAGTTAACTTGAATCAGATTAAACTTCTAGCTAATAACCAGTTTATAGGCAGTGTATGGGATAAAGGAACATGTTACATGACATACAGTTAGAAAATTCAAAATGTAGGAAACTTAAGGAAAAAAAGCAGTCTAGTTCCTTTGACTCTTAAATTCCAGGGGGGGAGTAATTTATATATTTAAGAAGATGCTTAGATACAGCAACCAAAAACAATGTGGGTCCCTTGTTTAGATCTTGATTTGAACCAAACAACTAAAAAGAAACAGTTGGGGGAATGTGACTACAATCTATTTGGTTTTCCTTTGCTGTAGAAAAACTTAGTCCAAAACTTAGAAACTTAAAACAGTGAACATTTATTTTCTTGTAGTTTCTGTGGGTCAGGAATTAGGGAGTGGCTTAATTGGGTCATCAGGCTCACAGACTGACAAGGCTGCATTCATCTCTAGTTCTAGTAGTGGTGGTCGTCGTCGTCGTCGTCTTCTTCCTCTTCCTCTCTTTTTCTTCTTCTTCCAGATTTTATTTATTTATGTATTTGAGAGAGAGCCCAAGTGGGTTGAGAGGCAGAGGAAGGAGCAGACTCCCTGCTGAGCAGGGAGCCCAGTGCAGAGAGCAGGGAGCCCAGTGCAGAGCTCAGGACTCCAGAATCATGACCTGAGCAGAAGGCAGACGTGTAACCGACTAAGCCACTCAGGCGCTCCTCTAGGCCTCTTGAGAAGGATTCACTTCCTGTATAGTGCTTGTTAAGATTCAGTTGTCCCTCATGGTTGACTGGAGGCCTTCCTTGGTGTCTTGGTACATAGGGTTCTCTGCAGAGTGTTTCACAGCATGGCAAGCCAAATTCCATGAGAGGGAAGAAGTAAGAGAATAAGAAAGTGAGAGCAAGATGAAAGCCGGTGTCTTTCTCAAAGTAGCATCCTAACATGTTTGCTATATTCTGTTTATTAGAAGAATTTCTGGATTCAGTTTGTACTCAAGGGAGGGGTTCACACAAGGGCATAAATACCAGGAGCCATTTCAGAGGCTGTTTACTAAAGACTATACATTTAGTAATATTAAGGAATTATTGGCTTTTTGAAAGTGTGATAATTATGGTTGTTTTTTAAAGGTGTGGTTATTATGGTGGTGTTTGAAAAGTGTCCTTTTAGAGTTGCATACTGAAATATTTCTAGGTGAAATGGAATAAGATGTCCAGGACTTGTTTCAAAATAATCTAGTGAGACTGGCAGGAACAGAGAGGGTGGCAGAATGATTATACAAGAAATAAGATTGTGTACTGGTAGTTGTTGAACCTAGACAATAAGTATACTATTGTCTATTGTGTTGTTATTGTTTATAATTTTCCTTAAAAAAGTGAAGAGCAGAAAGAACAAGTAAGTAAACAAAAGAACCCATTTAGTGCCAAATCATATATTCATGCCTTGGTACACTGTTATATTCTGAAAATATTTTTTTAATTTTATTTTTATCATCATAAAAATATGTATCATAAAATTTACCATTATAACCATTTTTAAGTATACAGTCCAGTGGCATTAAGTGCTTTCATGTTGTTGTGCACCCATCACCACTATCTGACTTCAGAACTTTTTCATTTTCCCAGACTAACACTTTGAACCCATTAAACACTAACTTCCCATTCCTCCCTGCTCCCAGCCCCTGGCAACCACCATTCTACTTTTGATCACTGTGGATCTGACTATTCTAGCTATCTCATGTAAGTGGAATCATATAGTATTTGTCCATTTGTGTCTGGTTCATTCACTTAGTGTAATTTTTTGAAATATGGAATGCTTCATGAATTTGTATGTCATCCTTGCACCTGGGCCATGCTGTCTTTTCTGTATCATTCCAGTTTTAGCATATGTGCTGCCAAAGCAAACACTGGTATGTTTGCTTGTTTGTTTCATTTTATTTTATTTCTTTTCAGTGTTCCAAAATTCATTGTTTATGCACCACTGCACTGGTATGTTTTTAAGCTCTATGTTATAATATGTATCAGCATTACCTTCCATTTTAAGGCTGAATAATACTCCATTTCATGTATGTACAGCATTTTGTTTATCCACTTATCTGTTGATGAATACTTGGGTTGCTTTCACCTTTTGGCTTCTGTGAATAATGCTTCTCTGAAGTGTGCAAATAATATTTTCAGATCCCTGCTTTCAGTTACTTGGTGTACATACCCAGAAATGGAATTACTAGATCAAATGGTGGTTAAAGATCTCTTTAAAAAAAAAAAAAGATCTCTTTTTTGATGAACAACCATACTGTTTTCCACAGTGGTTGTACTGTTTAACATTCCCACCAGCAATGCAGAAGAGTTCCAGTTTCTCCATATCCTTGTCACTACTTGTTATTTTCTGTTTTGTTTTTGATCATAACCTAATGGATGTGATGTGATATCTCACTGTGGTTTTGATTTTTATTTTCCTAATATTTAGTAGTGTTGAGCATCTTTTTGTGTTCTTGTTAGCCATTTGTACATCTTCTTAGGATAAATTTCTTTTCAAGTCCTTTTCCTAGTTTTGAATTCTGTAGGGTTTTTTAAATCAGAAAACACAAACACGTTAAATCTGCCTACTAGCGTACTCACCATGGCACATCATTGCTATTTTTTAGTTTTGTATTTGTCACTGGATTTGAAGCTTCTTAAGGGTATGGATTGTGTGTCTTCTCTCTTTGTTACCTTGATGCACCTTAGAACATAGTAGGAAGTAAATCCAAAAACTGAAGGAATTCTATCATTTTGTATTCTGAAAATATATACTCAGATTCAGTCCTGGGATTCTAATCTCAAATTCTCTGTGGTATAGAGAAATGTGAAGGAGGAAACCTACCAGCACTGTTCCCTCAAATCATCTCACTTCATCTCTGTTCAGAAACTATATTGATATTCATCCCTCACTCCCAAGTACTCAGAAATAACAGGGTATTATAAAAATGAACTAGACCATATAAATAAGTCTTTATTTTTCATCTTATATAAGTTTTTAATTAAAGGGTACACATCTAAAAAGATATTTTGGTGTAGATATTAATAGTGTGGTGTAACTAAGAATTTTAGCAAGTTTAAGTATAATAACAAATTGTGGTTAAATTGTTAGTCTTTGTTTAGGAACATAATCTGTATCTTCTGTTTTGGTATTTGAAAGGTTGCTCTTTGACCAAGACACATCTCTTAGATCTGAGTTCAGTCTCCATCCTGGTATAAGTGGAATGTACGAAGGTGAGAAAAAAATTTTTTTCACTAAGTAGTCCCTTTAATTTGCCAAGTGTTATTACTCTGTCAATTTCTCCTTTTATAGATAGTTTTGTTTTTAACTTTACACAGAATTAGTTTCTTATACGCATCTGTAATAGAGCCTAAGGTCTATTAAGGTCTGTTACTATAAAGATAGCAAGGGAAGTTATAACTTCTGGAAGATGTTAATGACTCCTTGAGAGGCCTTCAGAAATAAGCAAGTGACACCCAGATAGCTCTTCTCCTTGCAAAAATTTCCGGCTTAGCCCTAGAACTTGTTTATTTGCAAAAGTGAATAGTACTTTTTAATAACCAGCCTATTTCAGACTGAAATACCAAATATCCTTTGTTTAATTTTATATATTTAATTTTTTGAATTTGAGTATAGTTAATGCATAATGTTTACCTTAGTTTCAGGTGTACACCATAGTGATTCAACTTTATGGGTTATGCTAGGCTCACCACAGTTTTAGCTACCATCTTTAACATATAATGTCATTCTAATATTATTAACTATATTTCCTATGCTGTGCTTTTTATTACTGTGACTTATTTATTCCATAGCTGGAAACCTTTATCTTCCACTCCCATTCACCCATTTTGTCTATTCTCCCCACCCCTGTCCCCTTTGGCAACCATCAGTTTGTTCTCTGTATTTATAAGTCTGGTTCAGCTTTTTTTTGGTTTGTGTATTCATTTGTTTTGTTTTTTTTAGATTCCCTGTATGAGTGGAATCATATAGTATTTGTCTTTCTTAGTCTGGCTTATTATATACTAATAACAAAGTAGCAGAAAGAGAAATTGAGAAAACAATCCCATTCATAATTGCAGCAAAAAGAATAAAACACCTAGGAGTAAACTTAACCAAGGAGGTGAAAGACCCATATTCTGGAAATTATGAAATACTGATAAAAGAAATTGGAGATGACACAAATAGAAAGATATTCCATGATCATGGATTATAGGAATTAATATTGTTAAAACATCCATATCACCCAAATTCAGTGAATGCTTATGGAAATACCAACAACATTTGTTACAGACCTAGAACAAATCTAAAAATATCTATAGAGCTGCAAAAGAGCCTGAATAGCCAAATCAGTCTTGAGAAAGAAGAACAAAGCTGGAAATGTCACAATCCTAGACTTCAAGGTATGCTGCAAAGGTGTAATAACCAAAACAGTGTGGTACTGGCACAAAAGATTGATGGAACAGAGTAGAGAACCCAGAAATAAAGCCACACTTATAGGATCAATTAATCTATGACAAATTAAGCAAGAATATGCAATGGGGAAAAAAGTCTTTTCAAAAATGGTGCTGGGAAAACTGGACAGCTACAAGCAAAAGAATGAAACTGGACTAATTTTTTACACCATACACAAAAATAAACTTAAATGGATTAAAGACTTAACTGTAAGACCCGAAACTACAAAAACCCTAGAAGAGAACACAGGCAGTAATTTTTCTGACATTGGCCCTAGCATCATTTTTCTAGCTAGATACGTCTCCAAAGGCAAGGGAAATAAAAGCAAAAATAAGCTATTGGAACTACATCAAAATAAAAAACTTTTATACAGTAAAGGAAATCATCAACACAATGAAAGACAACCTACTGAATGGAGAAGTTATTTGCAAATGATATATCTGATAAGGGGTTAATTTTTTTTTTTTTAAGATTTTATTTACAGACAGAGATCACATATAGGCAGAGAGGCAGGCAGAGAGAGAGAGAGAGAGGAGGAAGCAGGCTCCCTGACGAGCAGAGAGCCCCTATGCGGGACTCGATCCCCAGGATGCTGTGATCATGACCTGAGCCGAAGGCAGAGGCTTAACCCACTGAGCCACCCAGGCGCCCCTATTTCTAAAATGTATAAAGAACGTATACAACTTGATACCTAAAAAACAAACAATCCAAGTAAAAAATGGGGAGAGGACCCAAATAGACATTTTTTTCAAAGAAGACATACAGAGAAATGCAAATCAAAACCACAAAGAGTTATCATCTTAGACCTATCAGAATGGCTAAAAGCAAAAAGACAAATAACAAGTGTTGGTGAGGCTATAGAGAAAAGAAACCCTTGTGCATGGATGGTGGTAATGTAAATTGGTACAACTGCAATAGAAAACAGTGTGGAGGTTCCTCAAGAAATTAAAAAGAATAATACCATATGATCCAATGATTCCACTACTGGGTGTTTACCCAAAGAAAATGAAAACACTAAGTAAAAAAATATATATGCACTTTTATGCTTATTGCAACATTATTTACAGTAGCCAGGATATGGAAGTAACCTAAGCGTTCATTGGTAGACAAATGGATAAAGAAGATGTGGTGTATATGTATATGTGTATATATATGTATATGTGTATGTGTAGTACACAGCCATGAAAAAGATGTGATCATACCATTTGTAATATGGATGGACCAAGAGGTTATTATGCTAAATGAAAGAAGTCAGACTGAAAAAGGCAAATACTGTATGATTTCATCGATATGTGGTACATATATTTTTTAAAAGTACCTTTTACCTACAGTTTTCTATACTTCTGAGTCCACTTCTAGGTCAATTTAAATGCTTATAGAAAAATACATCACTGAGCATCATGGTTCAAAAAGATATATTTGCAATAACTATTTAAGGGGTACATTATTTCTTTTTATGCTTTCTTCTTGGGAGCCTTTTTTAATTTTCAAGGATGTCTGAAAATAGGTATGGTAAAAAGGAAAAATTTCTTAAACACCACAAAGATCTTTTATATATAGTTCAGAGAGTCTTTTCACAGTACATCATTTCACTTGGTACTCCAGTGGGAAGTTGCAATTTCATCTTGGAGGGATTTTTCTTACATGTATTTGGAAGAGGCAGTGTGTAATGGTAGTCTCTAGAACATGCTCTTATGTCATATAAAGTACCACTAAGAAGAAGTTAGAGGTGTGTTTTAATATTCCAACCAAGTTTTTTCTTCGCTTTCCTTCTTCTTTTTCTTTGATTTTCCAAATTGATAGACTTTTTTATTACTTTTGCTAATTATTAAAAGAATAAAATTTTTCTCTCTATATATATTTTTAAAGATTTTATTTATTTGACAGACAGAGATCACAAGTAGGCAGAGGCAGGCACAGAGAGAAGAAGGGAAGCAGGCTCCCTGCTGAGCAGAGAGCCTGATGCGGGGCTCAATCCCAGGACCCTGGGATCATGACCTGAGCCGAAGGCAGAGGCTTTAACCCACTTAGCCACCCAGGTACCCCAAGAATAAAAATTTTCTAAATACAAAACTATATAATGTAGAAAGTGTAAGGTCCCACCCCCTATTCTTCTCTATAATTCCATTCCAAGAATTGCCAGTGTTTAGTATTTGTATATTTTTCTTTTTTTTTTTTTCAAGATTTTATTTATTTATTTGACAGATAGAGATCACAAAGTAGGCAGAGAGGCAGGCAGAGAGAGGGGAGGAAGCAGTCTCCCTGCTGAGCAGAGAGCCCGATGTGGGGCTCGATCCCAGAACCCTGGGATCATGACCTGAGCCGAAGGCAGAGGCTTTAACCCCCTGAGCCACCCAGGCGCCCCAGTATTTGTATATTTTTCTAGACTTTTGTATACCAATATGAATATCTTTTTTTATAATCGGTATTGTGTTAAATATAGTTCTTTCCTTGTTATATTGATCTTCCTCAACTTTTTAAATTGCTGCATGTTATTCTGTATGAATCTACCCATATTTAATGAATTGATAATATTTTTGGTATTTCTCGATACTGTAATAAATGTGACTGTTCTAGTATTTATACCTTTGCCTGCTTTTCTGGTTATTTCCTTAGTATAACTAGCAAAAATTATATTCGTTTTTAAAAGAAACATGTCAGATCTTGACACATATTACCCCTAAAAAAGATGACTTTTTCCTTTAGATCCAACAAAGGATATATTCAGTCTTTGCCAAACTGCTAAATAAAAAGTGTCTGATTATTTTAATTTGCATTTTCGAAGAGTACCAAGGTTAGACATACTTTAATATTGAGTATTCCTTACATGTCTCATAAATTATTCTCATGTTATTCTTGATTTATGAGATCATTTTATATATTAAAGATAATAAAACTTTTTCATATATATATGGAAAATAGTTTCACTCAGTTTCCTAGTTAACTTTAATGTTATTCATGATATATTTTGTAAACAGAAACTTTAAGGTTTTCTTTTTTAAAGTTTTTACTTATTTGAGAGAGAAAGAGCACAAGTGAGGGTGGGGGCATGGGGAAAGGGTAGAGAGAGAGGGAGAAGCAGACTCCTGCTGGGCAGGGAGGCTGATGTGGGGCTGGATCCCAGGATCCTGAGATTGTGACCTGAGCTGAAGGCAGACACTTAACCAACTGAGCCACCTAGGTGCCCTTAAGTTTTTATATAACAAAACCTGTCAGTCTTTTCTTCTGGGGTTTCTTGGTTTTTTTCCAAACTTGGAAATATTTTGCCTACCACAAGACCATAAAAGTTTTTCTTTTATCTTTATTTACATGTATTATATTTATGCATCTTTTTGTCACTGTTTAAAATGCCATTATTATTTTATATTAAATTCCCAGATATATATATATAGGTCTGTTTTCCACTTATTTTGTTTCATTGTTCTATTTGACTATATTTGGTGATGTGCCAGCACTGTTATTTTATGAGCCCTAGCTTTTAGTACGTTTCTTTATCTGGTAGGGAAGATATCCTCCTACACAGAGTAACTGGCTATATTATTCATTCTGAGCTCCTTTGGTACAAACAGCAATATCAGTGGAGTATGAGACTACCCATGGTGATCCTCCAGTGTACCCTCTTCCGTCTTTGGTTGGTGTGATTTGCTCTGAGCTGAGTGGTTTTCTGAGATTCTCGTGGAAGAAATTCATATAGTTATTCCTGAAGGAGCCACTCCTTTTCCCATGCAGAGTGATATACTGTTTACCTGTGTTTGGTTTCCCTTTAATCCAGTCTCATCTTCTGATCCATAGTGGTGTATTTCCTTTTTTTCTCATTGCTGCTTCAGATTAAAAAAAAACACAACAAAAAACAAAACTAATTTCAAAAAACAGCAACAGCTAATTTCTTTGGATTCTTTTTAGGAAGTCGGAAGGGAAGAAAAGTTAAAATATGAGCTCACTTCCCCATCCTTTTTTAAAAAAAAAATCTGAAAACCTAATTTATACAGGGTAACTCCATTTTATAAAACACACACACACACACACACACACACACACACACGCACACACACAGTAAAGGATCAGAAGGAAATCTACAACTATGTTATGAATAATTATCTCTGGGTGATCATTAGCATCTCCTTTATACTACTTTATTTTCCCAAGTTTCTACAGTGAGCAGGTATTAACTTTACTACTTAAAAAATATGGAAAAGGGAATGATGGGATAATAATGTACTTACTAATAAGAAGTCAAATATCTGTTCTAATCCTAGCTACCCAGTAAGCCAAACAGTCTATAATTTGCTGAACTTGGAAAAACAATTTCAAATATCCAGTGAGGATCTTATTCCTGTCTTAAAAACACAAACTCTATTTTTGGATTATAGACTAGTATTAGGAGTTTTAAAAAATGACCTCACACAGAATTGAAAAAGAAGAAAGTATTCTCTCTAAGGGGGTTTAAGTCTGTATATTGTCTCTATGTATCCTTTGTATTCATTCCACCTGAAACTAAGAAATATCAAGTAATATTTTATTCCAGTGTAGTATATGTTTCTTTGAAATTAATAACTTAAAGACTTTGATATTTAAAAGTGGCAGTTAGGAAATTATAATTTACAAAATAATTTTTAATGACATTTTGTAATTTCTGTAAAATCATGGAGTCATTGTCAAAGCAGAGCAATGAACCTGTTGCAAATGACTTATGATTATATTTCATTCTAGGCTCACCTTCTCCTGAGATTCAACTTGCTTTCAAATTCAGAGAGATTCCACAAGAGCAAAAGAGTAAAAATAATATAATGCCGCCTCTTAGTGAGAAAGAAGTCTTACAGGTATATATCATATTGATTAAATACATACTTATTAAAAATTGGAAATGCTATTTTAAAGAGGGCCAAATTACTAAGGATTAATTCTTTTTGTCTATTATTTTCCTTCTTTCTTCTCTTACTCGGTTTTTACCCTTTCTTAGCTAGTCATTCTGTTTCTTCGTTGCAACTTTGGTGAAAAGCAGTTGTTTTAGAAGGAAGTATTTAAAATATTTCATTTTTTCCTCTCTTTTCTCTCTTTCAGGTAGAAATGTGGAAGTGAGAGGAAGCAGAAGGTTAAAATAGAATATAATAATTATGATTTTCATCTAGAGATCACTTTAAATTTGTGAGGAAGATGTTAGTCTGCGTGGTATAATTTGAGATACGGGCTACTGAAAGGCCCTTCTGTTATCTAATGTGTGTGTGAGTGCATGTGTATATATATACACTTACTTACACAAATTTTTATTTGTTTCTTTTTAATGTAGTCACCCTGGGGAGAGATAAGGGGTGATTTAGTTAGCACCTGCGGCATAAGTAAGTCAGCTAACCAGAGATACCTACAAAGTCTTAAGGAAGGAAGGGACCATCGATACATTTTTTTTCCCTCTGAGGATAAAATAAAAATCCTAACATTTTTATTGATTGTTTTGAAATGAATGAAATATTCACACACATGGATTTTTATGAATGAAGATAGTTAATTTTACACAGATTGAAGACTTCAGGGAAAAATTGTGTTGTTTCCTTTTTAGAATAAGACAACTCAAGCTTTCTTTTTTATTATACTGAAAACATTTCATCAAAGATGCTGTATTCAGTCGTGAATCTCAAATTTGGGTTTTTTTAATCGAAGAATAATTGCCATACAGTATTGTGTTAGCTTCAGGTGTGTAACATAATGATTTGATATTTACAGACATTATCAAATGGTCACCACAGTAGGTTTAGTTACCAGCAGTCCCCATACAAAGTTGTGACAATATTATTGATTGCATTCTCATATCTAATTTATTTTATAACTGGAAGATTTTACCTCTTACTCCATCTCACCTATTTTGTCCATCTTCCCATCTCCCTTCCTCTCTGACAACCATCAATTCTCTGATTTATCAGCCTATTTCTGTTTTATTTTATTTATTCATTTGGGGTTTTTTAGATTCTACATGTAAGTGGCATCCTATGGTGTTTGTCTTTGTCTGTCTTACTTCACTTAGCGTAATGCCCTCTAAGTCTATCTGTGTTGTTAAAAATTGCAAGATTTCATTTTTTATGACTAAGTAATATTCCTGTGTGTGTGTATGTGTATTTAGGTTACTTCTATATCTTGATTATTGTAAATAATGCTGTATGAACATAGGGGTGATTATGTCTTTTTGAATTCATGTTTAATTTTCTTCAGACAAATACCAAGAGGTAGAATTACTGGATCATATGGTAGTTCTATTTTTAATTTTTTGAGTAACCTCCATGCTATTTTCTACTGTGGCTGCACCAGTTCACATTCCCACCGACGGTGCATGACAGTTCTCTTTTCTCCATATCCTTACCAACATTTGTTGTTTCTTGTCTTTTCGGTTTTAGCCGTCCTGACAGGTGTGAAGAGATATCTCTTGTGATTTTGATTTGCATTTCCCTGATGGTTAGTGATGTGTATCTTTTCATGTGTCTGTTGGTCACCTGTTTGTCTTCTTTAAAGAAATGTCTGTTTGGGTCCTCTGCCCACCTTTTAATTAAAAAACTGTTTAGGTTTTTTGTTGTTGTTTTTTGCTGTTGAATTGTATGAGTTCTTTATCTATTCTGGATGTTAACCTCTTATCAAAATATTATTTGCAAATATCCTTTCTCATTCATTAGGTTGCCTTTCTTTATTCTAATGGTTTCCTTCACTGTATAAAAGTTGCTTATTTTTATTTTGTTTTTATTTATTTATTTTTTAGAGAGAGACAGTTAATGGGGGGAGAAGAGGGAGAGGGAAAGAGAGAATCCTAGACAGGCTTTATACTGAGTGAGGAGCCTGAAATGGGGCTCAATCCCACAATCCTGAGGCCATAATCTGACCTGAAACCCAGAGACAGGTGCTTAGCCATCTTAGCTACCCCATTGCTCTGTGATTTCAGTTTTTTAAATCAAGAGTTGTGGGGCACCTGGGTGGCTCAGTGGGTTAAAGCCTCTGCCTTCAGCTCAGGTCATGATCTCAGGGTCCTGGGATCGAGCCCCGCGTCGGGCTCTCTGCTCAGCAGGGAGCCTGCTTCCTCCTCTCTCTCTGCCTGCCTGTGATGCCTGCTTGTGATCTCTGTCTGTCAAGTAAATAAAAAAAAAAAAATCTTTAAATCAAGAGTTGTTTTGTGGCCTAATAATGTGATCTATCCTGGAGAATATTTTATGTGCCCTTGAGAAGAATATGTTTTCTGTTTTTGGATGGAATATTTTGTATTTATCTGTTACGTCCATCTGTTCTAAGCCATTGTTAGTGTCATTCAAAGCCATTGTTTCCTTGTTGATTTCTTTCTGGAAGATGTATCCATTGATACAGGTGGGGTGTTAAAGCCCCCTAGTTTTATTATATACTGTCAATTTGAGAGAAAGGTATTTTAAACAAATGTTATCAGTAACTGATCAATAAATAAAACAATACCAGGAGTGTTTATTCTGCTATACTGAACGTGAGGATAGTTTGTGTGAGATATCTGTTGCCTCCTGGCAACCCAGGATTGGTTAGGCTGATTTGACTGTATAGACTTCTTCCACGCCACTCCAGTGATACACTATTCAGTTGAAGAGAATGATTTCAGATATTTTTGGTTGAGGATATATAAATAGATTTGCCCCTTTTCCAGATCCTCCAAATTAGAACAGTTAGCTTAAACTCTTTTTCACCTCCTACACCCTACCCCCAACAGATGAAATAAAACAAAAACTGTGCAGCTTAAGGGACCATCAAAATATTAGGGGTGGTAAGGGCAGGAAAAAAATGACAGTCACATGAATCAAAAGGATAAACAGCAATTTGGATGCCTTAGGAAAGAGTTGATTGAAATTAACAAATAACCAACTCCAGCCCCCATTGTATTTAGAAGTATTAGCTCTTAAGTATTATTTTTGCCTATGGAGGAGGGGAAAAACATCATCTATCAGGAGCAAACTTCCTTCCTACTTCCTCTCTTATTTTTTGTATTTTCCTTACCTAGGTAGGGTCAAGTCACTGATCTATAGTAAGGGATCTATAGTAAGGGAAATGAACTGGAGTATTACAGGTATTTGAATGAATTATTTTGTGAAGATACAGAAATATCTAGTAAGTATATAAGTATATATGTATATGCTATTTAATTAATCCTTGGGAGCTTCTAGGTTTACTTCTTTTTTTTTTTTAAGATTTTTTTTTTTTTTATTTGACAGACAGATCATAAGTAGGCAGAGAGGCAGGCAGAGAGAGACAGGAGGAGGAGGCAGGCAGAGAGAGACAGGAGGAGGAGGCAGGCTCCCTGATGAGCAGAGAGCCCGATGCGGGACTCCATCCCAGGACCCTGAGATCATGACCTGAGCTGAAGGCAGAGGCTTTAACCACTGAGCCACCCAGGCGCCCCTAGGTTTACTTCTTGAAATTCCTTCTTGTCTCTGGGTCTTGGAGCTTTGTAAGGTCTGCTTGGGAAGTATATATATGTGGAACTAATCTAATAACCTTGAAGTACGTAAAGATGCATTATCAGTAAATAACAGTGAATGTTCATTGGAGAAGATTGATGTTTTCTCAGTACTTTGTGTTTTCCTGTTATTATGGTTTTTCATTGATCGAACAATGCTTGGAAATTCAGACTGAAGGCTTTATTTTCAGAAAACGTTGTTATTGATCATAGAAACATAGAGGGCCCCCAGAGAGAGATCTTTTTCTAAAGATCCACTTAGATGGAAACAAGAAATTAAATGTTTAAAAGTGATGAAAGCCAGTATGCTGCAAAACTTAAAATGGAATCATTTTATCAGTGCATTTTATCTTTTTCTTTTTTTTAAGGGACACAACTTCAGATTTACTGTCATGACTTGAGAATTAGGCAAAAGTCATTTAGTATTTAACATTGTAACACAGAAGTTGTATGATTTTTGGCCCTCAAGGAGAAATATTAGAACTGAGAACCTGACAAAAATGGCTTATCAGAACCATTGTGGATTAATGAACTAGGAATAAAAAGAGGGGCACATCCTTTCTCTTTATTTAATCTCCATAAATTCTTTTATGGAAAGTAATTTAAAAAACTAAACACAAGAGCTAAAATTCTTAGAAGAAAACATTGGGAAAAAGTATCATGACATTGGATTTGGCAATGATTTCCTGGACATGAAAGCCCAGCAACAAAAGATAAAATAAATAAAGCTAGACTCATGAAAATTAAAAACCTTTGTGGATTAAAGGACATTATCAACAGATGAAAAGGCAACTTAAGAAATGGGAGAAAAGGGGCACCTGAGTGGCTCAGTGGGTTAAGCCTCTGCCTTCGGCTCAGGTCATGATCTCAGGGCCCTGGGATTGAGCCCCACATGGGGTTCTCTGCTCAGCAGGGAGCCTAATTCCCCCTCTCTTTCTGCCTGCCTCTCTGCCTACTTGTGATCTCTCTCTGTCAAATAAATAAATAAACAAACTCTTAAAAAAAAAAAAAAGAAATGGGAGAAAATATTTTTAAATTGTTTATCTCATTAGGGATTACTACCCAGAATATATAAAGACTCTTAGAACTCAGCAACAAAAAACAAACTGATTTAAAAATGGACAAAGGGCATGAACAGACATTTCACCAAAGATAGACTAGTGGCCAATAAGCACATGAAAAGATGTTCAGCATCATTAATCATTAGGGAAGTGCACGTCAAAACCACACTGAAATCCCACCTTACACTCATTATGGTAGCTATTATCAAAAAACCCCCCAAAATAACCAGTATTGGTTAGGATGTAGGAAAATTGGAATTCTTTCTTATTGCTGGCACCAACAGATGAGTGGATAAACAAAATGTGTGTTACATACAATGTAATTAGAAAGGGAGGAAATAGTGATACATGCTACAACATGGGTGAACCTTAAAGATCTCATGCTAAGTGAAATAAGTCAGAAACAAAAGGACTAATATCGTATGGTTCCTTTTATGTTAGGTACTTTGAGTAGTCACAGTAGAGACTGAGTAGTAGAAAGAAAGAAGCAGGATAGTTACCATGGATTGAGAGAGGGGTGAATGGTGAGTTAGTGCTTAACAGGTATGGAGTTTTAGTTGGGAAAGATGAAAAAGTACTCTAGATGGATGCTGGTGATGGTTGTACAACAGTATGTGTAAAAATGGTTAAAATTGTGAATTTTATGTTGCATATATTTTACCATAGCAGAGAAGATGCTAAGAAAGAATAATGCAAGAATTTTTTAAATATTAAATTTCTAATTAATGCATTGTATTAGAATTTATCAGTTAAAAGAAAACTACCTTTTTTCCCCCTAGCAACCTCAAGATGAAATGGAACAAAATGAAGCTCTGTTCCCGTAAGTATACTAATTTTGGGCTTTATTATATTGTAGATTTCTTTTTGTAATTTTACGCTTTAAAGTGAGTCTTCATTTTCTTAAGAGTTTTAGAATTATTGTATATTTTTTAATAATTGTCCCTTTAGCAGCCTAAATATGTTATTTTGAAACATTCTAGATAAATTTCATTTCATGAGAAAGTTTGGTTCATATTAAGTTGATTTTCTGTCTACTAATATTATTTAAAAAGAAAATCTATAGCATAGCATGAAGGAATAATTTATAGACCTTATTGAAATTAGGCTTTATAGGACTGTTGTTCTTTAAAAGACTTTATTCTTTCAGCTCTTTTAAAACCATGGTTCTCAAAGTATGGTCTATGGACTCCTTGGGAATCCTTGAGACTTTTTCCAGGCAGTTTTTGAGGTCAGAACTATTTTCATAATAATACTAACATGTTATTTGCCTGTTTCATAGTACTGACATTTGCACATAGATTGCTAAAGAAAATGGTAAGTAAAATTCTGAAGCCTTACTAGGATTAGGGCAGTGGCTGTATTTTTCACTGCCATGAACTAGCTGTTAGAAAGGAAGAAAAAAGCGAGGTTCATTTAATGCATGTGGTGAAGCGGAAAAGTTCTTGTTTAATTAAATTTCTACTTTTGAATATATATCTTTTTGATATGGTTGTGTTGATGGGGGAAGTATGCCTAAGTACTTCTGTGAATACTGAAGTGTGGTAGTCTTGAGAGCACTTGTTTGAGTTGTAAACATTGTAAGAAAATTAGCTCACTTTTTCTTTTAACTTGAAAGAATAATTGACAGACAAAATAGTATTCACACTTGGGTATATGGCAGACATTTTCTTCAAAATCAGTGAAGTAAGCCAGTCACTTCAAGGAAAACAGCTGGTGGTATTTGTTGCCAATGAAAAAATTCAAGCTTCCATCTGAATATTAGTGTAGAAAACTTGTTTCTACCACCTTGACCTTGATGGCTTCCAGTACTTAAAATTTTCCAGTGAAATCAGTGGTAATATTTACAAAGGTGGTCTTTTTGATGTTTAATAGCATTATCAGTATAAGGAAGATTTGCATATAACTCAGTGAAACAGTATTTTCTAAAAGACAAATGCACAATTTACAATCACATACTGGTGAAAGATCCATTCAAAGTGCAAGGTAGACCAATGGGTCATAATGCCACAGAATACAAAAAGTCCATTGGTGTTTCAATTTCTGTATTTCCAGTAAGCTTTAAAGAAGTTATTCCTTTTTAGAGTTTTGATGTGATATTTGCTTTGGTATGATACTATACTTATCCAAAAGGGCTACTAAAATACTCCTTCCAGATGCCTGGGTGGCTCAGTGGGTTAAGCCTCTGCCTTCGACTCAGGTCATGGTCTCAGGGTCCTGGGACCGAGGCCCACATTAGTCTCTCTGCTCAGCAGGGAGCCTGCTTCCCCCCCACCCCCTGCCTGCCTCTCTGCCTACTTGGGATCTCTCTCTCTGTCAAATAAATAAATAAAATCTTTTAAAAAATAAATAAATAAAATAAAATACTCCTTCCTTTTCCATCTGTATATCTGTGTGAGGCCAGATTTTTGTTATATACTTCAAATAAAATAATGCATGGCAAAAGTTTGAATGTATATACCTGGTATATAAAAACTGCTCTTAAAACAGCTAAAATAAGAGGCTTTTTTGTTTGTTTTAAAGGGCGATATCTTGATTGTGTTTGCATATAGTAAATTGGATTGAGGAAAAAAAGTAGTTAACTGATTGCTTTTCTTCAATCAATTTTTAATTATCCCAGGGCAGATGATAAAAATTATAGATTAGGCATGACCCTTATTTCAACCACTTTCCATCAGTATTTCATACATGTTCTTCTACTGTAAAATAGAAAAATGATAAATAATACTTGAGAATTTTCTCATTAGTGACTTGTACTTACATCTAAAACTGTAATGACAAACTTTCAATGTATTTGAGGATTTAGGTAACCAAGATACATAATTCAGAACCAATTTTTTCTCCCCCACTACCCTCATTTGATACACAGTCATCCCAAAGTGACTTTTATACCTAAACTTAAGGTTGCCTTATTTACACTCCTAAATTTCATCCATTAATTTTCAGCTTGTTCCTTCATTTTTGCACACTTGAAATGTAAATGTTAACAAATTTGTAGTAACTGTGAAAGTAATTGAATGATGGAGCAAAAATAATTATGCAACTTTGAAATTCCTTTAATTGAAAAAAAAACCTTGAATTATATGTAAATAAGAAGTAGTGTTTTTTTCTTTTCATTTCAAAACTTTTATTTATTTATTAAATAATTTATTTTTTAGGAATAGAAGAAGTTTTCCAGTGTTCACTGGGTCATTTTCCCAGGCCAAACTTTCAGTGAACCACCAAAGCATTCAAGGTATGTTTTTATGGGTAGAGTCATATAAAGTAAATTTGTCTGTGCCTAAAAATAGAAGGCTTAGTTAGGTATGGTTTTATTTGCATTGACAGCTCTCAGAAGGCCAAATGGGTAGAAGGTTAGAAGAATAGGAAATGCGTGACATTTGGTGTTTTGGGAGCCATTAATGCCATATGATGTTTTTGGCATCTCTGTACTTTTACCATGACACTCAATAAACTTCTAAGTCAGAGGTCTTTAACTGGCTCTTCCTTTATAACTTTGTGGTGTTTCTTGCTGCCATGAGCTGATGTCACTAGATGCCCATAGAATTGGTAGTCTCCTTCCCTTCTGATACTTCATTGCAACTCCCTCTTTCCTTCATTCCTTTCAGAGTGTTTAGAATGAAAGTTCATTTTGTTTTCATCCAGATTTTAGATTAAATCACATGTGAGGAAACTAGTAAATTGTTCACTAGTTTAGCTAACTCTGTTTTAATACAATCCTATTCTCTTCCTCCCAATTCAAACAGTAATTCTAACCAAATTCTAGAATGGTCAAAATAAACAAATTATCGTTAGTAATTGTTGTTTTTGCTTATAAGTTAAAATTCAGCTCCCCTGAGCATTTTCTTCTCATTTGGTACTTTAGAATTGTATTTATTTTGAGAGAGAGAGAGAAGGATCACAAGCAAGTGGGGAGGGGCAGAGGGAGAGGTCAGGAACAGACTCTCTGCCAACCAGCGAGCCCTACATGGGGCTCAATCCCAGGACTCTGGGATCATGACTTGAGCAGAAGGCAGATGCTTAGCCAACTGAGCCACCCAGGTGCCCCTTGAATTATTTTTTATACGTACATACTACTACTACTACATTTTGTCTCTTTCAGGTGTTAAGTAGAAAATGTACAAAATCTAAGACTGAGCCAGTCAGGCCCCCTTCACAATTTTTTTGATTTGTAAAAACTATTTTAAGTAAATTTTGTAGTTAGAAAATGAGAAGTACTTAAATATGTTTATTTTTATATAGTAGTCAGATTAGCATAATATATACCAACTTATCAAATTTAAAAAATACCAACTATTGGCATAAAAGTGATTATTTTGATTATGAGGTGATTAAAAATACAGAAAGAGATGGCTTTGAGGATTTTCTTTACAATTCAGAGGAGGGAAGAGGGTGAAGTCTCTGTTTTTAAACTAACCCCCCAAGGATCTGACATTTAAAAAAAAAAAAGATAGTTGAAGATGTATCTATTACAGTGTTTCATATACTAAATTTTACACAACAAGAGATAAAACCTTAAATAACAAGATATACATAGCAGAACATACAGTCATCATTGCTTGGCACAGAGGGTTCTAATGCAAGAATAAGAAGTTACTTATTCTTAGTAATGTTTTGCTCATAATCCTGTGAGAGTGTGTAATACCATGATGTTAACCCTTCTAGCTTATAATCATCAAATGGCAAAGGTGAAGCAAAACAAAACAAAAACAATAACAATAAAAAGCAGATCTTTGCATGATGTAAAACTCAGCAAGCATATTTATGGGTTTTTTTTTTTTTCCCCTGAAAACCCTGTCTTGCTTATGAGGATGCATGCTAAGGTTCAGCAAATAATTACTTGTCTTATGCTGTAGCTCTTGATACTACCTAATCAAAAGAAACCAAAAGAATGATTCAAATAAATGCTTGAAACACCAGTGAACCCTAAACCCCTACCTAAATATATCAGAGTGCCTGGGCCTTGATGGTGAAGGTAGGAGGCAAGAGGAGTGGTGTAGGAGAACCATCTTTTTTCCCTGCTCCTCCTTCAATTTCACTTGGTATGAATTGCAGAGGGAGCAAGATGAGGAGAGGATAATAAAATGGAAGTCACTTAGGACAACCTATTGATTCCTTTTTGCCCCTACTTGGGTTGTTCCTTTTCATGCCTAACCGGATGGCATGATTTTAATTTATATTGTATTAACTATAATGGAGGAGATGATGACCCTGAGCAAGTAGGTATGATTTTTCTTCCTGTAGTTACCTATACTTAGAATAACTCAGCCAAAATAGAGAGGTTTTAGCTAAACTAATTCTAAATAATTATAATTTTACTTATCTTTTTGTAAAGTGTTTTTTTAAGAAATGGAAGAATTTTCTTTTGTAACTTCATTGCCACTGTAATGATACTTTTATATCAATAATTAGGTATAATATTTATAAAATGTTTTGTGTATTACATGAATGCCTGTGAGAAGCATTTCAAGTTATTTTGATTAAGAAATGCTAAGTCAGAGTTATGTTTCTAGTGCTCTAATAAAACTGGAGTAAAACATATTGTTACTCTCTAGGGCCAGAGGCTGAAAATCCTGAAAATTTGCCAGACCCAGAAAAGGTTGGTCCATATAACAGAGATTACCTTTACAGATCATGTGTTTAGATTTTATTTAAGAATTATATTAATTAAAGTATCAAGCCCATTTATGTTCTTTCCCTGGGTGAGAATATAACTAAACCATTTTAATAGAAATGTGTTCTTGTCTAAAAACCCCTTCCAGTATTTGTTCTTCCCTATCTCTAATGAAATGGTATTTTCTTGATCTGTGTTTCTTTTTTGTATTTTAATTCCAGTATAGTTAACATACAGTATTCTATTACTTTCAGGTGTACAAAATGATTCAACAATTCTATAAATTACTCAGTGCTAATCAAGATATGTGTACTCTTAATTCTCTTCACCTATTTCACCCATCCCCCCCATTCACCTCCTCTCTGATAACCATCTGTTTGTACTCTATTTAAGAGTCTTTTTTTTTTTTTTTTTGGTTTGTCTGTTTTTTCTTTGTTCACTTGTTTCTTAAATTCCACATAGGAGTGAAATCATATGATATTTGTCTTTCTCTAATTTACTTCACTTAGCATTATACTCTCTAGATCCATGCATGATTTTGGAAATAGCAAGATTTCATTCTTTTTTGTAACTGAATAATATCCCATCTTTCAGTGGACACTTGGGGTGCTTTCACAATTTGGCTATTATAAATAATGCTGCAGTAAACATAGGGATGCATATATCCTTTCAAATTAATGTTTTCATATTCTTTGGATAAATGCGATTAGTGAATCAAATGGTAGTTCTGTTTTTAATTTTCTGAGCAGCCTTCATACTGTTTTCCAGAGCGGCTGCACCAGTTTGCATTCCCACCAGTAGTGCATGAGGGGTCTTTTTTTTCTACATCCTCACCAACACTTGTTTCTTGTGTTTTGATTTTAGCTATTCTGACTGGTGTAGGGTGGTAGCTCATTGTAGTTTTGATTTGTATTTCTCTGATGCCAAGTGTTGTTGAGCATTTTTTTTCATGTATCTGTTGGCCATTTGGGTGTCTTCTTTGCAGAAATGTCTATTCATGTCTTCTTCCCATTTCTTGATTGGATTATTTGTTCTTTGGGTGTTAAGCTTGGTAAGTTCTTTATAGATTTTGGATGCTAGCCCTTTATCTGATAAGACATTTGCAAATATCTTCTCCCATTCTGTCGCTTGTCTTGATTTTGTCAGCTGTTTCCTTTTCTGTGAAAAAGTTTTTATCTTGATGAAGTCTAGTAGTTGATTTCTGCCTTTGTTTCCGTTGCCTTTGGAGAAGTTGCTGTGGCCAAAGTCGTAGAGGTTGCTGCCTGTTTTCTCTAGGATTTTGATGGATTCCTGTCTCACATTTAGGTCTTTCATGCATTTTGAGTTTATTTTTACATATGGTGTAAGAAAATGTGTTAGTTTCACTCTTCTGCATGTGGCTGTCCAATTTTTCCAGCACCATTTGTTGAAGGGATTCTCTTTTCTCCATTGGATATTCTTTCCTATTTTGTCAAAGATGAGTGGACCATAGAGTTAAGGGTACATTTCTGGGCTCTCTATTCTGTTCCGTGGATCTGTGTGTTGGTTTTTGTGCCAGTAGCATTCTGTCTGGATGATTACAGCTTTGTGATACAGCTTGAACACATTGGACAAAATAGACTTTAAAACAAGAGACTAAGAAAGTGCATAATCATAAATGGAACAATTTAATAAGATAAAACAATAGTAAATATTTATGCACCCAGCAAGGGAGCACCCAAATACGTAAAGCATTTAATAACAAACATAAAGGAAGTAATCAATAGTAATATAATAATAGCAGGGGATCTCAACACTCCACTTACATCAGTGGACAGATCATCCAAACAGAAAATCGGTAAGAAAACAGTAGCTGAAAATGAGCATTGAACCAGGTGGATCTAACAGAAATATTTAGAACATTCCATCCTAAAACAGCAGGATACACATTGTTTTCAAGTGTACATGGAACATTTTCCAGAACAGTTCACATGTTAGACCACAAAACAGGTCTCAACAAATTCACAAATGTCAAAATCATACTATACATCTTTTCTGACCACGATGCTATGAAACTAAATCTCAACCACAAGATAAAATACAGAAAGATCACAGAAATACGGAGGTTAAAAAACATGCTACCAAACACTTAATGGGTCAGCCAAAAAATCAAAGAGGAAATCAGAAGATACGTGGAGAGAGGGGTGCCTATGTAGCACCGTCGGTTAGTTATCTGACTCTTGGTTTCAGCTTAGATCATGATCTCCAAGTCATGAGACCAAACCCCATGTTGGGCTCTGTGCTGAGCATGGAGTCGGCTTAGAGTTTCTTTCTCCTTCTCCCTCTGTTCCTCTCCCCCTGCCTCCACCACTCTCTCTCTAAAATAAATAAATAAATCTTTAAGAAAAATACATGGAAACAAATGGAATGAAAACAACAGTTCCAAAGTTTGGGATGCAGCAAAGCAGTCTAAGAGGGAGGTTTATAACAATACAGATGTATCTCAAGAAGAAAGAAAAATCTCAAATAACCGAAACTTACCCCTAAAGGGGCAAGAAAAAGAAGAACAAACAAACCCCAAAAGCAGGAGAAGGAAAGAAATAACAAGATTTGAGCAGAAATAAGCAGAATAGAAACTGAAAAAATAATAGAGCAGATCAATAAATCCAGGAGCTGGTTCTTTGAAATGATCAATGAAATTGATAAACCTTTAGTCAAACTCATCAGGGAGAGAGAGAGAACTCATGCAAATAAAATCAGAAATGGAAGAGGAGAAATAACAACCAACACCATAGAAATACAAAGGATTGTAAAATATGAAAAATTATATACCAACAAATTGGACAACCTAGAAGAAATGGATAAATTCCTAGAAGCATATAATCTCCTAAAACTGAATTATAAAGAAATAGAAAATTTAAACAGACCAATTACCAGCAATGAAACTGAATCAGTAATGAAAAACTCCCAACAAGAGAATGTCCAGAATCACGTGACTTCACAAGTGAATTCTACCAAACATTTAAAAAGTCAATATTTATTCTCAAACTGTTCTAAAAAAACGGAAGAGGAAGGAAGGTTTCCAAATTTATCCCATGAGGCCAGTGTTACCCTGGTACCAAAACCAAAAAAGACACCACAAAAAAAGAGAATGGCAGGCCAATATCTTTGATGAATATAGATGTAAAAGTCCTCAACAAAGTATTAGCAAGCTGAACCTAACAATACATTAAAAAACCGTTTACCACAATCAAGTGGGATGTATTCCCAGGATGCAGGGGTGACTCAGTATTCGCAAAACAATTAACATGCTACATTATATCAACGAAAAAGGGTAAAAAACATACGAACATTTCAGTAGTTGCAGAAAAATCATTTGACAGAGTACACATATGTGGGGATACACAGGGCCTGGATTAATAAAATCTGACCTCCCTGTATATATACCTCCCTGGATGAGACTAATTGAAAAACAAAGGAGGAGTGCCTGGAATGCTGGGCCTTCTTTGAAGTTTCTTGGCTGAAAGCAGCCAGATTTTTACTGTGGCTTAAGGTTCTCATTTAGGGAGCAAATATTTAAATTTTGAAGAAATTCAGGTACCTGCAGTGGTCACATGCTTCCCGAACTCCTTGCCTCGTTCATATGTCACAAGCGCTACTTGCTTCTGTCACCTGCTGCCCCATATATTATTGTCCTGATCCTTGAACTACACATTCCTTCTTGTTTTTCTCTTGCATGTGGTATATTGATAAAACTCAAAATAAAAGTGGAGGCAAAGCTTGGCTCAAGACCTTTCGTCACTGGAGTGTCATGTCCCGTTGCCCTCTCCTTTCTCCTACTTTGGTGTCTGGAGTAATCTTTTCATTTGCCATCTCTGGGTTTGCTTGCCAAACCCGACAAACATCCATTCATGATAAAAATCCCCAACAAAGTAGGTTCGGAGGGAACATATCTCAACATAATAAAACCTATATATGAAAACTCATATTGACATGATGCTTAATGAGGAAGAACTGAGAGCTTTTCCCCAGGGTTAGGAACAAGCCAAGCATGTCCACTTTCAGCACATTTATTCTGCATAGTATTGGAATTCCTAGCTTCAGCATTCAGACAACAAAAAAGAATAAAAGTCATGTAAATTATGAGGAAGAAGTAAAACTTGCACTGTTTTCAGATGGCATGATACTGTATTTAGAAAATCCTAAAGACCATCCAAAAACTACTAGAACTGATAAATAAATTCAGTAAGGTTGTAGGTTACAATATCAGTATACAGAAATTGCATTCCATATGCTAATAATGAGGCAGCAGAAAGAGAAATTTTTTTTAATCCCATTTACACCTGCATCAAAACCAATAAAATACCGAGGATTAAGCCTAACCAAGGAGGTGAAAGACATATTCTGACAACTATAAAACACTGATAAAGTAAATTGAAGACAACACGAACAAATGGAAAGATACTCAACACTGATGGATAAGAAGAACAAATACTGTTAAAATGTCCATACTGCCCAAAGCAATCTACATATTTAATGCGATCCCTATCAAAATACCAACATATTTGCCACAGAACTAGAAAAAACAATCCAAAAATTTGTATGGAACCACAAAAGATCCCAAATCGCCAAAGAAATCTTGAAAAGGAAGACAAAAGCTGGAAATAGCACCACCCCAGATTTCAAGTTATACCATAAATCTGTTGTAATCAAAACAGTATGGTACTGGCACAAAAACAGAAACATAGAACAGAGAGCCCAGAAATAAATCTGTGTTTATGTGGTCAGTTGATCTTTGACAAAGAAGGCAAAAATATGAAAGGGAAATAGTCTCTTCAACAAATAGTGTTGGAAAGACTGAACAGCTGCTTGCAGAAGAATGAAACTGGACTACTTTCTGAAACCACACAAAAATAAACTGAAAATTAAGAACCTAAATGTGATGGCTGAGTAATATTCTATTGTATATTTGCAAGAAATGGATGGAACTAGAGGGTATTATGCTAGGTGAAATAAGTCAATCGGAG